CAATGCTAACGCTTCCCAGTTTGGTGCAGAGACCGGCCCAGGTTCAAATGTGGCTTAAATCTTATGACTGGATTGCTTCTGTGGAAGGGGCAGAACTTCCAGATAAAGTCTGCACAAGAATGCAACTTATAAGGGATCGTTCACTAATAAATAGTAGTATTTTAAAACTGTGGGATAAATGCAGCAAAAGCATTACTCTACATTTATCACCTCTTGCTTTGATATTGATTTTTGAAGGAGAACGTACAGAAAAAATGGATCAGTGGAGGGATAGTCATTCACACTAAATGTAAGAATTATTAATAAAACAAAGATGAAGTCCTTCAAGATTCTTTCTTCAAAATCGCCAGAATCATCTCACTGGTTTCAGTATGTACAAATTAGTAGTATAGTCCTCAAGGAACAACAGAAACAGGGTGAAATACTTAGAGATTTGACTGAACTTGGAAAATGTATCCCACAAGATTCGGATCGTTTATTGGAACTTATCTATAAATTGCTGGTGAACAGGTTAAGGATTATATGATCAAATGGATGCAGAATTTGAACAAAACAATTGATATGTAACAATGGAACATTAATGGATGATCTTACAAAGGGGTTCATACCACATCTAAAGTGTGTCTTTCTCTTAGCATAAGACTAACATTTATATTTTTCTTTTTCTTTTTTTCTGATTTGCTAAATTCATAATTTTTTTCAGAATAGATAAAACTGACTGTAATTTTTTCTTCTTTTCTCAGTTTATAATTTATAAACTGAACCATGCTGGTTATAGCTGCAAATTATTGTACAATTATCTGTTTTTAATATTAATTTATTTTACCACTGATTCCAATGTTCAAATTGATATAAAATATTTTAATATCTAGATTTATGTCAGCGTTGGCTGGAAATCTTGTAAATTTTAGAGCTCTCTTTATAAATAAAGCTATAAATAAACATCTTTATTTATAGCTTGCTTTTCCTATTTTTTAATATTATATTTGTACATTTAATAAATAACAATTAGAAAAGGAAAACAAAATAAATCAGTACAGTACCAGGAAAAAAAAGATACATCTGGAGAGTATATATTGCTTTATAAGGTGAGAAGGAGAAACTGGGGGACAAGAATAAGTGACTTTATGTTATTATTTAGCTGAGGTGTAGAAATGTTATGGATGTTTTAATGTAGAGGTTATCAAAAATGGAAAAACCATGAGGTTATTTTTTTTTCTTCTACTTTGGGTTTAAGAAGTTGACCAGTATCTTTGTTTGGTTTTGAAATCTTTGAATGTCTTTCGTGTGCCGCTTCATATATTTTGCTAGCTTGAAGTCTTCCATTCATCAGTGACAATTAATTGATCTGTTTGAAAAATAATTGTAGAAGCCAATGACATTAATCAACATTGGTTAAACATTTTATTTTGCAGTCACATGCCCAGATACGAAGTATAGAAATTGCAGATTCTAAAAAAATACTACAAAAATAGAAAAGTTGATTACATAGGAACGGCTTACACAATTGTTAAATAATTCATTTTTGCTAAAATCCTATTGTCAATCAAACATGTTCCTAATGAGGGTCATGGGATGACAGCATTGATAGCTGTAGTGTTTCCTCTTTAAGCTTCTCCCGTAGGCTTACACAGGGACTTGTGCCTCAGGTTTTCATTTACTATTTATTATTCTAGGATTTCTATTTGGCCTTTCATTCAGGAACTCCAGGTAGCATATGTAATGTTCCCTCCTCCCACCTTTCCCTACAACATCCACCCTGTGAGGTAGGCTAGACTGAGAGAATGACTGGCCCAAAGACACTTAGTGAGATGCCATGGCTTTGGAGGAACTAGAGCCTGCGTCTCCCCAGTGCCAACAGCAAACAAATACTCTATATCAGTGTTTCTCAACCTTGGCAACTTTAAGACGTCTGAACTTCAATTCCCAGAATTCCTCAGCCAGCATGGTGGCTGGGGAATTCTGGAAGTTGAAGTCCAGACATCTTAAAGTTGCTAAGGTTGAGAAACAATGGTCTATATGGATGGGTTAGGTACAGTAGCATGTTTTAGAGTATGTTGGTGTAATAATTAGACAAGTATCAGTGGTATGTCAATAGCTTATGATGGTATTACTAACTTCTGGCTACAATTTTGTATGTGCTTATCTTGGAAGGGAGCTTCATTCAATTCCGTGGTGCCTGTTTTTGCACAAGCATGCACTGTTGATGTTCTAAGGAAATGTCTGCATTAGTTTCTGAATCAGAAAAGCCTTCCAGGATGACTTGAAATGTAAAACTGTAAAATAGTGCTTTCCTAAATGTTTCAGTCCAAAGTAAGTGCAGGTCAGTTCCAGGGGCCTTATTTTCAGACAACTGTATGTGGCATTGTAACCTTAAAAATCTAAAACATCACAGTAGAACATAAAAAGAAAAAAAATGAAAAATAGAGAAGTCTGTGGCAATCACCCTGCAGAAGCCCCGCCTTGTCCTCCCTTATTTGCATACTGAAATGTTTTCAGAGCTGAGCTTTAATTATGGGAAGGCTTCCATAGGGAGAGGCAGCCTCTCCAGTAGCCTGCCCCATTGTGCCCAGAAGCAAACTGGCAGCCAGCGCCATTGAACCAGACAGGTGGACTACAAAGCCAACGAGAGAAAGCAGACACTGCATCTTGTGCTGGTGATAGTTTCTGTTTCAATCCCTCTTTGGCAGGCACCCCATACAGAGTGTGCTGCACGGTAGCGGCCCCAACCAAAGGGGATTAAGGCACAGATCATTCCAGCCAGCTCAGACTTCTTCCGGCGATTTTCAGGAGCTCTTGATGGTGCACCACTTGAAGGTGGCCAAAGGTGCTTCTGGCCATGGCAGTTGGCCTCTCTTGGGGCAGGCTCATTTAAAAGAGTGCCACTAAGAAAAAAATGGGGGGGGGAATGTGGTTCCAGACTGTATTTGTTCACCGAGCAGGAAAGATGAGGTTCTTCATGCTTTTAATTTATTAGAGCTTTAGAGGCACGCCAGGATTCATTCTTGGGGCCATGTTCTCCTTGCCTTATTTAATTTTAAATAAGAAAGTTCAGTGTCATCACAACATAAAAATTATCCTTGTTTCTTAAGCATAATACGTGAAAGAAAGAGTGATTAGTTGACTGAACCTTTAAATTCAGACAGAACTAAAAGTCTACAAGCAGTGGAATCTTATGTTTATGGGCCCTTCTCAGTACAAAATATCCTCCTCCTTGTATTGATGCTTTTTATTTATTATTAGATTTATATCCCATCTTTCCACCAGGAACTCATAGCAGCACACTCAGCAGTCCAGTTTTTCCTCACAACCAACCCTTTGAGGCAGGCTAGGCCCATGCACTGAATGTTTTTGCAAAGGGACGAGTGTATATTTCTCCTGGCAAAGGAACGCATGTCATCTTAAAGCAACATCCAGGGTTGCCTCCCATGAAGTTCTTGCACCTTCACCACCTTCTCCTTATTGATTTACTGACACTTGTTTGGTGTCAGCTTCCATGGAAAAAGATAGGATTTAAGCCTAAAAATTAAAACTAATCAGTGTTCTAAGTGCCTTTTCTCTGTACCACTGGAGTTTTAATTAAGGAGAGCCTCCTGCAAACTCCTTTGTTTCCACCCACGGGAGAGGCTGTTGAATAGAGGGGTTGCTTATTGTAGCAACTCAGAGAAATCACACTGAAACAGATATAGTGATATGATGAGTAAACCCATTGAATTCCGTGGGATTTAAGTGAATAATTAATGCAGAGACATTATGTATTTGTTAAATACGTGCCGTGTATTTTCTGTGTGCAATGCACATAAATGATGGGTGGAACTTCGATCGCACCGTGGCTGCCGTTTTGACATTTTTGACCTGCGGACTCGCCTGAGATGCTCCCTTTTTTTAGGGATAGCCAGCCTGTTGGTCTTTTCGGAGGGGAAGGAAAGAGGCTTGTAAAAACCCTGATCCTAGTTCTTCAGCATATCTAGGCCAACAGAACAAGCGCTTCGATCAACTCCGGGGCGGAAGCCGGAGGGAAGAGGGAGACTGTAGTATCCAAAGGCTGAGCGAGGGCCGCTTTTCTCTTTTCCTCCCTCGGTTCCAAGGGATCAGTTTCAGCGCTGCGGGTGTCCGGCCGCCCCCCTCCCCACCGACCTCCGCGGGTGAACGGGAGCGAGTGGCGCGGCTCGCTTCGGCTCAGGCTGTGCTCCGCGTGGGAGGCCGTGGGAAACCGGATCTCCCTGCGCAGGCCGGAGCGCCGCAAATCTAGCGGGACGTGTCAGATGTCCCCCGAGGCGGCGGGATCGCGCCGCTGCTTCTCGCCGCCGTTCCCACTCCTTCCTTTCAGGCAGCGTCGGATTAAGGCGGAGAGGAAATCGCGAGCTGAGCCCATTAATTACGAGATAAACGCCCGTGAGAGCGCTCCCGGCCGCCTCCAGCGGGCTGCTCAAGTCAAAACAAACCACCTCGCGGGAACCGCCGGGATGGAGGTTTCGGGGCGGGGGGAGGCTCTGATCCGCGCCCAAGTCGCAGGCCAGGGGGTCGACAGCCTGAAACAATGGAGAGCGCGGCTCGGGAGTCGGGTTTAAGTGGTTTAGTGGGGATTAGGGCTTCAAATTGGAGACCGGGCTGCCGCTTTCCTCCAGTCACCCCGGCTTTTAAGAGATTACGTCGGGACTTCACGGCAGCTCCCCAGGCAGTTTCTGGACCCCGGGAAAAAGCGGGTGGGGTGGGGCGGCGCGGCTCTTCCGATCGCTCATCGTCAACATCGGGTTCTCCGTCCCTCGTTTACTTTTAATGCAACCGTAAGGATGTTTGGAGCAGCGAAAAACGCTCATTCCAGAGGGGGTTGAAATGAATTGACTTGGGGGGAATTCTCTTCCCTTCGCTTTCCCGGCCCGCCTCGAACTGAGCTCGGGGCTGTAGCCGGTTGGGGGGCGGGGGGTGGTTAAGAGCTCGTCCCGATGGAGCCACCGAGGGGGCCCTTGATCTGATCCTTCTCTATCGCTCTCCCGCAGCTCCTGGACCTCTTCATGGTGTGGGACTGGTCGACTTACCTGGCCGACTACGGGCAGCCCAGCTCCAAGTACCTGCGCGTCAATCCCAGCACGGCTTTGGCCCTCTTGGAAAAGTAAGTCGCCGCGGAGACCTCCAACTTCGAGCGGGGAAGGCGCGGCAGCGCAGGAGAAGCCATCCTCCGGTTCCGTTTGCCCTTTCTGCTTCCCAGCCGCCAAACGTCCCTTTAAGACCAAGATAACTCCAATGAAGAGCTGGCCTTTCCCAGCGGTAGCCTCCCACCCCCGGTTGGCTAGCTGTGGTTAGGAAGGCTCGGAGGGGGAGCTGCTAGTGCCCTGCGTCTGCCAGAACAGCAAGCAAGCAACCACCCCCCTTCTCCCCCGCCCGTTCCTTGCAATAGTGCGCGGGCCCCGTGGGCTCTACAGGGCTCAGCATACAAGATGGCAGGGCGCGCTTTCCATGGCTTAGCGTTAGGGCTGAAAAGGAGGGCTTTCTGAAACGTCTTTCCGCGGCGCTTATGCTCTTCAGCGGCTCTTCTATTTCTGATGTCCAGTATTTCTTTCGGGTTGGTTCCCCCCTTCCCAACTGATCCCAGCTCTTCGGTTCAATCAGCAAATCGATCGGCCGCTGCGTTTCTAAGTCCGCTGGATCCAGGCGCCGCCAAGTTGATCTGGTTTCAAAAGTGGCTGTGCTCCCATGGCCCGGCTGTGTGGCCCGGCTGTTTCTCAGAATGTCGTCTTAAAAAAAAACTTTTTTAAAGATTAGCTAGGCTGGTTAAGCCTGAAAGATAAACGCGAGGGGGGGGGGAGGGGGCTGAGTTGTGAGCAAACTTGCTTGGATGGCTGCGATGTTCTCTCGAAATGCTCCCGGGTGGTTTAGCCACCAAGCGATCGTGAGGCTAAAGCACCCAGAGATTTTGGGAGGTAAATCGACAGAATTAACCGTACAGGCTGTTCTCAGAACTTAGAAGCAGCAACAACAAATCTTAGAGATATTTTTCTGCCTCGCCGTTTGCTAACTCTTTTGCGCGCTGTCTGTCTGTCTGTCTCTCTCTCTCTCTCTCTCCTGCTTGCAACGCCTGGACGCTTGGCAGAGTCCACCGAGGGTAAGCAGTCTTTCGATTCGTTTTGGTATGGAATCAGTTCCCCAGGATTCACTTTCGAACTGTTGGGAAGCTTCGTGGGAAGAACCAAACGTTTTATGGTTCTTTTTCATCGAGCTAGGCCGAGGTCCCGCTCCTTTATCGAGACCTTGCCCTGCTCTTCGGCTTTCTTGCGCGGGGCTTGGAACTGGAGCCTCCCTTCCCAGCGTTGTTCGGATAGAAATAGTAGCCCTACTGAAGTGGCCTCTTTCGGGGATTTCCAGAGGATCCTAGGCCGAATTCGAAGTAATCGTAACATTCCCCCGAGAAGCGGTGGCGCTAAATCCCTCCGAGAGAGGGGAGGCCTGTTGGCCGCCCGGGAAAAGCGCCCAACTCTCCTTCCGGGACCTTTGCGGGCCCGTTCTGCAAACCCTCCAGAGCCCTACCTGGAAGCCGCTTCTGGCCTTCAGCGCTTTCTTGTGGCGGCTGGGCTCGCTGTCGGGCTCGCGGGACAGGCATCGTTGCTGGGCTCTTCAAGGGATCCCTGACCTTTTTCTCGGCTCCCCTTTTCAGGATGAAAGACGTGAACAAAAAGAACCACCTTTTCGCCCAGTTCCGGAAGAACGACCGCGACAAACAGAAGCTCATCGAGACGGTGGTGCGGCAGCTGCCGGGGCTGGCCCACGGGATCGCCCAGCACCCGTGAACGCCGGCCCCCCCCCGCCGCCCCCCACCCCCC